ACAAATAATTTCTTAGGTTTCCGTAAGATTTCCCAGTGCCTTGCACAGTACCTTATAGGCAGATTTGAAGCTCTCCATTTACTTTGTTTGAATAAACGGAATTATTTTAGGCTCCCAGTTAATATTGTTTGAATAAATGGCATTCCCAAATTGCTAAAGGTGTTTAATCTTAATAAGTCTCATAGCTCCTTTTTGAGATTATAGAAAATACACATGTTCTGTAGAATGGACTGTGTGATGCAAATAACTGTTATCCATTCTAATAATATAATAATAGCTTTGAACTTTTTTTGTTTTGCTTTCTGTTTAGGAAAACAGTGTATTCATTATCTTTTCATCTTTACTCATTTTTGATTTATTAAACAGGTACTGTAATTAATCACTGAAAAATATTTGCTAGGTGCTTTCTGTATAGCAGTTGTGCTGTGGGACATGAGGTTGGAGCAGTGAATGAACCAAAGTGCTCACATGGAGCCTCACTCTAGTGGGGGAGACAGATGATAGCCAATTAATGTGTATTGTGGTAGGGCTCATGAGAGAAAATAAAGCAGCATAAGGGATAGAGAATGTCTTGGGAGGGATGCTATTTCTATGGGGTGGTCTGGCTGGGCTAATTTAGTAGGATGACATTTAGTAGGAGAATTGAATAAAGTAAGTGAGCCCCCTGTGATATCACTCAGGGTAAGACTGGCAGAACAGCACATGCAAAGATCTTGAGGAAGCAGTGTGCTTGGCAGTGTAAGAAAAAATGAGGTGTGTTCATGCATGGAGGATAAATAAGATAATGCAGATAAATGCAAAGTAGGAACAAATTGTCTGCTGAGGTAATCATGATTTGGTTTATAGCTTTCCTGATTTTTTGTAGTTCATATTAAAAAAAAAAAAAAAAAGACTACCTCTCAGCTTTCTCCTTCATCCCAGGATCTTCTGTTTTTTAAACAGTAAAACCATTATAATATAGCCTAACTCCCTTACCATAGATAATCATTGTGTTGGATCCTACGTATGTTTTCTACATTATTCATTATCTTTATATACTAGTGTACTTCAAAAAGTTTGTGGAAAGATTCATATTATTTTTAAAACTATTTTTAAAATTTCTTAAGATTTAAAAATTTAATTAAAAAAATTTTTTAATATTTAAAAAGTTCTATTTTTCCACGAAGTTTTTGAAGTACACTCATAGCAGTGTACGTGTGTGAGGGGTATATAGACAATATACATGGAAATACATACACACATCTATATATGGTGGTTATATGTGCTTACTACATATATATCAGCACATGATCTATTGTGGTGAGACCAGAGAAGCTCCTTCTAGTCTATTTGGGCAAAAGTAAGAAGAAAATATGAGCTTCTCTAATTTGTTTTTTTTTAATTCATATGATAATTCTATATAATATGCTACATAAAACTAGGGAGAATATAAGAAGTAAAGTCCAAAGATGCCCCTGCTATCTTGGACTTCTCAAGCTTATTATGCAAACCCTCCTAAAGAGAAATCAAAATTAGTAAGAGTTTGGCAGAAAATTTGTTGTATGCACTTAAATATATTATGACAATCTATATCCTTTACTATCTGGGTAAAAATTGGCAAAATTCCTTAACCTGTGTTTCCCCATCTATAAAATATGGTTGTTAGTATCTTTTCTTTCTAACTCATAGTTTGATGTGAGAATTAAATGGGGGTAACAAATGTAAAAGAATTCTGAAATTTAGAAACAAAGCCCTTTAAAAAATACAAATGCTTTTATTTGGTTATTTGTTATTCCATGGAATTATTTTTTTAAATCATTGCAATGTCAGAGGACCTATCATTGGGACAGCCTAGGTTGTTAAGGAAAAATTTGTAGTTTAGANCGCACCTCGCTCAGCCAGTGAGCGGGAACCGTTCTGTATGTGGGATCCGAACCCTCGGCGGGAGCGCCGCCACGCTCCCAAGCGGCGCCCTGTAGCAGTGCGCCACCGGGCCGGCCCTCTTTGTTACATTTTCTAGCTTAAGTTCTGCCAGATATTTATAAAAATCCATAAAAAGTATACAAACCAAAAAATAAATGTCCACAATATTGATGAGTATATGTTTTCTTATCATTTGTATAAAAGCTATGTTATTTATTATTATCCAACCCTGTATAATTATTACCCATCATCTGTTATATATTTGAGCTTTCAGTCACACTTTTGTCACATAATTTGTGATATTTTAAAATTTCTTTCTTCCTAGAATGTAGTTTTCAAATAAATACATTGCAGGGGAAAACTGTGTTTACCTATGGTTCATGGATGCTGTGAAGCTATCCTTATAAACCCCAGCACAAGGCTCTTGGGCTGATGCATCAAGTCCAGGATTCTCCCCAGGCACACAAGCCCCCGCCACTGCGTGCTGCTGGATTTCTTCATTGCCTGCCTTGCTGTGCATGCTAAACTCTTTAACCATGTTGCTTTTCTCTGTCTGTTTTTACAAATAATTTCTTAGGTTTCCGTAAGATTTCCCAGTGCCTTGCACAGTACCTTATAGGCAGATTTGAAGCTCTCCATTTACTTTGTTTGAATAAACGGAATTATTTTAGGCTCCCAGTTAATATTGTTTGAATAAATGGCATTCCCAAATTGCTAAAGGTGTTTAATCTTAATAAGTCTCATAGCTCCTTTTTGAGATTATAGAAAATACACATGTTCTGTAGAATGGACTGTGTGATGCAAATAACTGTTATCCATTCTAATAATATAATAATAGCTTTGAACTTTTTTTGTTTTGCTTTCTGTTTAGGAAAACAGTGTATTCATTATCTTTTCATCTTTACTCATTTTTGATTTATTAAACAGGTACTGTAATTAATCACTGAAAAATATTTGCTAGGTGCTTTCTGTATAGCAGTTGTGCTGTGGGACATGAGGTTGGAGCAGTGAGTGAACCAAAGTGCTCACATGGAGCCTCGCTCTAGTAGGGGAGACAGATGATAGCCAATTAATGTGTATTGTGGTAGGGCTCATGAGAGAAAATAAAGCAGCATAAGGGATAGAGAATGTCTTGGGAGGGATGCTATTTTCTATGGGGTGGTCTGTTTTTAGAAATATTAATATTGCTAAAATGTCATTTTTTCAGTGACGGCATACTTAAAATTGTAACCATCTTCTATTGAGCAATCTCTGTCCCCTTCCTTGCTTGATTTTTTCACCATAGTACTTACCACCACCTGACATATTAAGTCTTCTACTTATTTACTTCAATACTATCACTCTCCTACCGGAAAGGGTGCCTATTCATAATAGTGCCCGTAACTATCTCTTCATTTTCATTTTTTTGGCCTTTTTTTTTTCTTCTTTTTAAATTTGTTTTGTTTTTTCTTGGTTTTCATAATTATTTGTTGAATGACTGAAAGATGAATGAGTGTATCTGTGTTTATTGTCATCTGGATTTGCTCTTCAGGCATGATGATCCCACATGATGTCCAAGGTCCTAGCTTGCTTGTTGACCTTCCTACTGTGGCTCAAAGAAGGGAGCAAGAAGATTTGCCTTTATACGAGCTCCCTAGAACCCAAGTTGTTTCCAAAGCCTCTGCGTACACAAGAATGTTGTCTTCTAGATATGCCACTAATGCATGGTATGATATCATTTGTCTTTGTTTTCATGTTATAAAATAATGGGTTTTTTGTTTCTAAAAAATGCATAGTTTTGGTGGAATATTTGGAAAATCCAGAAAGATAATACATATATTTATAAAATCTACTGTATTTGACAATTGCTGTGAGAATTTCACATTCTTAAAATTGTGCCATATATAAAATTTTGTATTCTTGCAGTTGTGTACAAAATGGATTACATTAGAATATTTGCTTAGAGAATGGGAGATTAATTCAGGATTTTTTAACAACACAGTTAAAAGCACTTGAGGAAAAATTAAGAAGAGGATGGACTAAGAAGGGGATTTTCTAAGCTCTACAGAGTTAGAGATTCTGGAGGAATTGGTGACTCATAACCTGTTGGGAGTAAGAAGGGGTAGTTCAAGATGACTTGTGTTTCTGGACTGGGAAAATAGATGGATAGATAGACATTAATTCTTTAACATAAGATAGTAGGAGCACGAACAGGTTGGAAGAGAAAATGATGAGTTCAGTTTGGGACATGTTGAGGGTTGAAGTATCCATAGGACACCAAAGTGAAATGGAATAAATTGGATATGTGAGTCTGGGGCTTAATGTGGAGCTCTGTCCTGACATGGATACTTGGGAGCAACTCCTGGATTTGAATAGTCATCCAAGGGAAGCTCAGACAATAAGAGCAGTGGGCCAAGACTGGAATCCTGCAAAACAGCAATATTCAAGGCATGAATAGAAACAGAAAAGAGTGAGGTGAAATGAACAAAAGATAGAAGGAAATGAATAAACTAGAGGTTGACATAGAAACCAAGGGAAGAAAGCATTTTCACAAAAGGATCATCACAGAGGGTTGTGGTCAAGATGGCAGAATAGATAGTCCCCAGCATCTCTCTCTCCTACAAATCAACCAATTTACAACTATAAAAATGTAACAGCCAAGCTGGAGCCACTGGAGTTCAGGGGAAGAGGAGGAGAGACCTACAGAGTTCATGAAGGTGGGAAAAACCACAGTGACAGAAAGAAAAAATTGCTCTCAGTGTTTTGGGCTGTGGCTGCTTCAAGGCTGGAGCTGATGAGTGCATGGAGCAGGAGCTGGCAGAAGCTGCAGCTGTGCCCTTCAGATGAAGTTACTTGGAGGCAGCAGGGGACCAGATCCCCCTCCCACATCCAGGCACACTGCGCCATCGCCTTGGGGCCCACCTGGAGACCTGAGGCATGGAGTGGGGGGCAGGCCCCCCTCCCACAACCAGGCACACCGCACAAGTGCCTTGGGGCCCACCTGGCGACCTGAGGCATGGAGTGGGGACCAGACACACCCCACAACCAGGCACACTGCCAGCACCAAGGAGCATGCCAAAAACATCACCTCCATCTGGGCGGCCCACCACAGCTACCACAATAACCATGGCTGCTGCGAAAGTGGCTAGATGCCACAACCACCACATAGATGGTCTTCCAACCACTGGAGTGTATTGATACAAGGAGAGTCACCAGCAGAGATAAAGAAAAGAAGAGGATGTCTCTCTCCACAAAGCCCATTTCAGAATGACAGAAGAAGCATCTGCTCTATGATAATATTGGGGGACCTGATCACACCTCTCAGCATTAGACAGATCATCTTGGAAACAAATCAACAGAGTAACCAGTATTCTTTCAGAAGGAGAGAAGAAATCTCGGGTTATTAGAAGGGGGATGGGGGAGGGAGAGGAGGATGGGGAGAGATGGGACAAGGGGCATAAAGAATAATTACAATTCGTAACAATATATATGCTAGTAATATTGATTTGATCAACATATCTCAATGTTGATTCAATAAAAAAATAAATTTAAAAAAAAGGATCATTACAGGGTATGGTCACATGCTACAGGGAGATCAAATTAGATCAGAAAGAGAAATTATCATGGGGCTTGACCACATAGATAATGTTCCCTGGTAAGCACGGAACAGTTATGATATAGTGGAAATCAGAGAGTAGTGGGTTCAGAATTGAACAGAAGGTGAGAAATTGGACATTGTGATAGCTGACTAGTGTTGAGAATCCTGATCATGAAAAGAGGCAGATAGAATGCATGTTTCCTAAATAACTGAGGGTATTAATGGATCAAGGCAAGGAGGAAGTTTTATATATATTACTATATACATATATACGTATACATATATATACATTGCTACATATATGCATACATGTGTACTATATATGACTACATTCTTATGTGTATGAATATATATGAAACTTGAGAGAATTTTACTTGCTTGTGGTTAAGATCCAGAAAAGGAATATAGGAATATGTAGATGATAGAAATGGGCAATTAAACATAGTCCCTGGAGATGGTGGAGGGAGAGGAGGACATTGCACACCCTGAGAGATTAGCCTCTGATAGTTTGATAGGAGGAATCTCACCTCCTCCATGAAGACAGTGCTAGGCATGAAAGGAAGGTACAAATGCAGATACTTTTTGCAGCTTGGGGGCAGGAATCCAAGGGGATTATTGTTCAGTGACCGTGAGTTTTTTTCTGTCTTTTAGGAGAAATATTATTTACTAAGAGTGATGGGGTGCCAGTAGAGCAGGCGTTAAAAGGAGAGGTGTCAGAGTTGAGATCAGCTTTTGAAATAATAGTAGGAGAGTAATGGCCTATTGGTAGGAGGGAGTTTAGAAAAATATTGATCCTCTTTTTCCAACTCCAGGGAGTGAAAGAATGCACATCACCCACTTGAGTGTGATGTTCTTGGCAGAGAACCAGAGCTGTTGCAGAGGAGGTGCAGAGAACATTCAGGCTGGGGTGTGGAGTAGTTTGTTTGCGATTTAAGGAGATTTTATGGAGTGGGTGGACAGTGTGGCATGGCGGGGCTTGTGGGTTGTGGTAGCAAGGGAAGCACTTCTCAAGGACAACCCAGAGAAGCGTGGTGTTGTGAATACAGGAGACAAGAAGTGAACAAAGGAGCTAGAGGTCTTGGCAGAGCATAACAGGGATGAGAGATGGGGTGGGGTTAATTGGTTTTAAATATTTTCATTAAAACCTTTGTGCAAGAATGATTTTGTGTCTTAGATGTTGTGTATTTCTCTGTTCTGCAACCTATGACCTTTGCTTAGAGTTTTAGGTAGAAGCTTCATGAAAAGTTGTTCTCTGTGCTTCTGCATAGCCCATCTCTGAGTGGAAAGGAAGGATACAGACAGGCCCAACAACTTGGAGAGATCTGGTGGCTTTTTCACTCAGCAGAGGGAAGGTGCTACCAGGCCCGGTGTCCTGATGTGAGATCCAGTGAAGCCCCCAGAGGGACCGTAGTATTCAATAAGCGATGGATTTGTTTCCTTAGGAGAGTTGTTGGTAGCAGAAGAGTTAGGAACAATTTTTATGACTTTTTATATATAGTTAAATTACTTTTCAAATGAGGCACATTTGTTTTTTAAACTTCTCTTGTGCTCAGTGAGTCAGGCAGAAGAGTTCAGAAATGGGGTGCTTCTCTAAACTGTAGAATTGCAGCTGTAGAACTGGAAAAGATCTAAACACATTTCCAAACCCACCCCTCTTTCCCTGCACAGAAGAGTAAATGGAACCGCAGTTGTGTATTAGTTCTCCCTGCTGCAGAGGGAAGATGCATGCGCTTTACTCCTGTCCGTTGCTTTTTCTCCTCAAGTGAGTACTTTGACAAGCTGATTTCTTATGCAGGCACAGGCATTTAAGGACTCCAACCTAACCTTTGTCTTACATTTGAAAGCTGTTTTTTTTTTGGCTTGCTATCAGAGATTTAGGGTATATTTAAATCTCAGCAGATTCCAGAGGAGTTCCTATAAGTCATATTCCCTCTTTTAATCTTTAAGGGTATGCCCCATGGAGTTAGGTTTATAGGTGAATATTTATTGCCACTCAGGAGCCTTTCTGAATAATGGATAGGTTCTTTTAGATGTTAGTCTTTCAGATAATCAGGGTGTCGTGTAGTGCTAAGTGGTATTTTAGAGTTTCTCCTTTGCATTAATTATTTGTGTAGGATCTAGCAGAGGGTTGTGTGTGTGCGTGCATGCGTGTGTGTGTGCTCCTGCACCAAGGGTAGGTATTTAATAACTGTGATGTATAATGTGCACTGTGCTCTTGCACCAACTTCTCCTGAATTTTGGAGGCAGGACTGTATTAAGAGGTCAGATGCACAGGAAAATGAAAACTAAAACCACATTGAGATATCATTTAATCCCAGTTAGATTGGCCATTATAAAAAGATGGAGAATAAAAAATGCTGGCCAGGATATGGGGAAAGGTGAACTCCCCCATGCTGAACCCTCCAACACTGTTGGTAGGAGTGTAAGTTAGTGCAGCTGTTATAGAAATCAATATGGATATTCCTCAAACAACTACAGATAGAACTGCCATACAATCCAGCAATCCACTGCCAGGTATATTCTTAAAGGAATGAAAATCATTCTGTCGAAGGGATATCTGCACTCACATGTTCATTGCAGCTCTATTTACAATAGCCAAGAGTTGGAACCAACCTAAATATTCGTTGATGGATGACTGGATAAGGAAAATGTATATATACACAATGGAATACTACTCTGCCATAAAAAGGCATGAAATCTTGCCATTTGCAGCAGCATGGATAAACTTGGAGAAAATTATGTTAAGTGAAATAATCCAGATACAGAAAGAAAAATACTGCATGTCCTCAATCATAAGTGGGAGCTAAAAAAAAAAAAATGACGAAAAAAGAAACAGCAACAACAATAATTCATTGAACTTTCAAAAGGAGAGAACAGAACTGAGGCGACTAGAGGTGGGAATGGGAGAGGGGGAGGAAGGTAAGTGAGAAATTTGTAAAGTGCCACAAAAAAATGATTACATTGTGTAATGTTGAGTTTAGTAATTATCCTGGAAATAAATAAATAAAAATATTTGAGAGAGGTCAATGCAGACCTTGAAAGTGCAGATTTCTAGGAAGGGTACTGTGGACAGGAGGGGTGTGGTACTGTGGAAGAAATCCACGTACTCTTGTTCTGAGTATCCTTCTC